TATAATCAATTATAATGTTTACAGTAGATGTGAAACAATTAAACAAAAGCTTACACTACTTTTATATCAAAGAAAAAGAAAGTAACTCAAAATATTTATTATTAAGAGAAGGAGGGGGATCTTTGCAGAAATGTGCACATTTTGAAACCCATCTTTGAAATGGAAAATACAGAAAGCAGTTTAAAAGATACTTATTTTGTTAGATTAAACGAAAAACTATTATTAAGTAAATGTAGTTATACTTTAGTAAAGTGTATATGCATTCTTGTAAATGTCTCAAATTTAAAAATTTTTTTTTTTTAAAAGTAAAACTTAGGTGATCATTATTTACCCCAGAAACAGAGTGATCGTTAATTTCCCCGGGTCACCCTAATTTTAAACAAGCCAGCTTGTAGTCAATTCCAAGGTATCAGGCATGACATGAAACATCTTTTTTCGCTAAATTTTGGCTTTTAAATATTAAGATAGCTTCACAAATTTTGCTGTGTCGCAACTTATACACCTGCCAATTAAAAACAATGTAAAATATATGCTTCTAGTAAAAAAATATTTTAAATCATAATACAAATCCGTGTTGTGACAGACATGACAAAAAACTGATATGGATACAGTGTCTTAACAGTATGACCAATTACTCTGAAAGTGTACATAACTTAGGCTCAGAAATTTCAGTTTTATAAAGAAGACTGAATTTAAAGTCATTAAATAATAAAATTTTGTGGAAGTACCTTTTTTGAAAAAATATGTACTAGCGTGGCAGCTTAAGAAAGTTAGCGCTGACTTAGCAATTCATAAAAAAAAATATAATTATTTTAATATAAGGCTTTTATTGTAATATAATTATTAAAAATATATAATTATTTGTTAGAGAAAACTGAAACATAAAAAATATGATTATTTTAATATTATGCTTTTTTCTTCAGTTTTAGCAACAACAAAAAAAAGAAAAAAAAACTATTTTCTAAAATTTTGAAAATTAGTCAGTAACAGACAGGAAATAGACTAGGTTCGAGAAAACTAGAAATTATTAATTTTCATAGAGAAGCGCAATATATTTAATTATATTTGTATTTTTTAAAATTTTTTGGTAACTAAGCAGTATACTAAATCAAATCAATTTTATGAATTAGAACCAAATCTTATTAAGGCTTTTTATATTTTTTAAATTAAATTTTAGTTATTGTTATTTACAAGGTCAGGCTGAGGATTAGGGGCCCTTTGAAATAATGAAATGTTCTCAATTTTTCAGAAATGTTAATAAAGCGTTATTGATTTTGCATTGCAACTTGATTTGCAAAAATTAAAAGAAGTTTTAAACATTCTTTAATGAGCTTTATATTTAATTTTAAAGCACTTACTTTCTAGTTGACCTAGTTTATTTTAGAATTTATTAAAAAGTAGTTTTGTTAGCCCTAAATTTAATTATTAACAATAAAATATATGACAGGAAACTAGTTTGTTCTGTTTCCAAATATATTATTTATTTCTTCTTAACCCTAGACTGTCAAAACAGTTTCAAATGTCGTTTAAACTAGTGTAATCCCAAAAAAAATCTTAACACGTTTTGTTTTTGCTCTATCAACATTTAAATTCCCTGAAACAAAAATGATTGTCATAAATTTTCCTCTGAGGGCGCATTCTAATTTTTAAAAAATGATTTACGAAAAAAATTCTTAAATTTTTTTAAAAAAATTTCTTAAAACAAAAAATTATAGCACAATAAAACCAATGATCTTTCGAATCAGGAAAAAAATATTGAAATGTTAGTTATCAGTGTTATGAGATGGTAGCATTTATGTAAGTATTTTTCATTACTTAAATGCAATCCCCCATCAATTATTCATTTATTTAAAAGAAAATTTACAGGAAATCAAACCTGGCTTTAAACATAAGAATAAGGAACTATTGCTCTATAAAAAAGGAAACAAAAATATTGTAATTTAAATTTCAGTCACTTCTTGACTAGTTTAAGTGCTCAAATTTTTAACTGGTTTTCTGTACGAGATGACAACACAATTTTTAAAATGCTTTCTGATCACTATAAGCAGAATTTATCACCAATCTTAATTTTGATTATTTTTTGGCCTAAACAAGCCAGGAGACACAAGACTAAAATGTAAAAGAAATGAAAATAAAAAATGTATGTATATTTTAAAAATCAAATGTGTTCAGTAGATTAAAAATGAGAAAATAAATCTATAAAAGATTCTCACACATTACAAAAACCGCAAAGGCAAAATTTCACAGTTGACTTCGAACAATTTAAAATGCCTCTTTTTTCGTTTTGGTGACAAAAATTAAAATTTATTATTTTTTTCATACACTTATCAAACATGATTTTTAAAAATATTTCAATTTCCAATTACACTTTTGAAAAGGACATCAGTGCTCATCTTCAAAATATATACTCTCATTGCAAGTTTTATTAATT